CACCAGACGAGGACCACTCACGGGTCGCAACCCGCGCCCCCTCACATCGACTGAGGGAGGAGCCGATTCCCGATTGGCCCATGAGTCGCCTGCGACCGCCGACTCATGGGCACCCACCCGGGCAACTGATAGGGCATCTCCCTATTGTGAGTCGCGTGCATGCACCGACATCAAAGATACGAGGGTACGAGCATGCTCCTCCGATCGACCGACGTGCCTCGCCACGCTCAAAACTGCAGGGGCGAAGGCAACGACGCCTCTGAAGGGCGCGGTGACCGTGCCCTCTTCGCCTCTCACCTCTCCGCATCCTGCCTATCGCTGACGGATGTGGCCGTAGGATCACAATGCTCCACCAAGGTCGCAACAACGCCCCGGTCTCCTTCATCCTCGGAGGAGCTCGCGTCGCCACCCATCTCTGTGGGCTTCTCTGACTCGAGCTCCGCCTCCACGTCGCTCTGATTTTCACCGGCCTGCACCCGCCGAGCGATCTCCTTCTCCTTCTAGTGCCTCCTCCGTGCCTTCTCAGCTCTCTTCTTCTTTTTGGCAATCGCTGCCTCTTTTAGAGCGGCTTGCCGAGTTGCGCCCTCTAGCCCCTTCAGAAGATGTAGTTGGGATTTGTAACCGGCGAGTCCCTACGAAACGGATGACTCGAAGTTAAAACAAAGAGAGCAAGAGAAAAAAGGTCACGGAATAAGAGGAGGAGAGCGTACCAGATTGGATAGCTTCGCGGCGTGGAGAGGTCTGGGCTTTCCTTCAAGGGACTCCTTATCCCTCAGTTGCAGCACCCAGTCGAGTTGGCTCTAGACCTCATCCTTCGCTAGCTCCTCCGGCGATGCACGGTTGGGATCTATAGGGCCACAGTAGGCCCACATTGGTCTTCTCCTCTCCGCTAGCGGGGCGATGCGATGGCGGAAGAAGGTGTGGAACACCCGCACCCCATCAAGGCCATGCTGCACCAGCTTCTGGAGCTCTGCCTCGATGACCTCCAGCTTGTTCTATTCACTAGAGGGCCCCACGACTAGCTCTCCCACCTCTTTGGCCTTCTTCCGGTGAACGGCGGGAATGACGCCCAGCTGGGTTCCTAATGTAGAACCACTCCCCATGCCACCCTCGATTAGAGTCACAGGGGGAGTACGCGGGGTAGGAGACCGACGGCCTCGGTGGCTTCCCCTGCGACAGGGCTCGCCCGGTGAAGATCCGTCGAAAATAGATCCATGTGCAGCTCCATCCTGAGGAAGGCCCCACAGATGATGACAAAACCGGCAACATGCAGCACCCTAGTCAGATTGAGGTGCTATAGCTCTAGGCCCCACTCGTTGAGGAGCCCACCCAAGAACTAGTGCGCGGGATATCCTAGCCCACGCTCATGAAAGGCGAGGAAGGAGACAACCTCATCGGCCTGAGGTCGCGGAATGGCTTCCCCTGGCGTAGGAGCCCTCCAATGCGCCACCTCCTTCGGCTGAAGCAGCCCCTTCTCGATGAAGGTAGCCAGCACCGCCTCATCTACGTTGGATGGCCTCCAGTTCGACATCACGCTCTGGACTCATGAACGGATCTGTGAGTTCTTCTCTCCCTCGCTTTACCCTCTCTCTCTCAGAAACCGCCGTGGCACATGAACGCGCTTGGCAAGAAGGAAGGAGGAGAAGAGGCAGCAGATGGAGAAAGACGAAGGAATGGGACAAAACCCCTCTCCCTACCCCTATTTAAATGCGAATAGGCATGCGATGGGACACGTCCTGACTGATGGTATGCCTCCTGCCCAACGAAATGTCACCCAATTAAAGCGAGATGTGGCCTAGGTTGGGCCCACCACTACCACAACCCAGGCGTCGGAAACAAGGCACAACCATATGCAAACAACCCTTCACCTTCCCAGGCAGGGCTTGGAAGGGCCCAACAACGGGATCTCCGTTGAGGAGAGACCAACGGACTTCCTGAGTCGATCAGATGGCTCAGGTGACTACCGGGAGATAGGTAAGGAGCAGTGGGATGCCCCATGCGTGCTACACTGACTCCGTCACGAATGACGAACACGGATCCCATTCGGACTTATCCGATAAGAGCTCCTCAAACCCGTCACTCGAGTCATCAAGGTAGCTTTACCAAACGTTCTTACTTTATTTTCTGATGCATGATAATTCATTCATCCTTTCTCATACATGCATTCACACATTTATTCATACAATCATTCATTCATCCCATACATCCAAAGCATCGCATATGCAATTAATGCATCATAACGCTTCGTGTTGCGTCACGAAGCGGTAGTTGCCTCATTCAACATGAGCAACGACCGACCAGGGTTCGAAGGCTGGCCCACGAAGGCTCGAGGCTGGCTCGCGTCAAACAGAGCCAGGGGAGAAAATGCAGATGAGCCCCAGTGGCCCTCGCCTGTTATGCTTAGAAGCAGACAGGGTCATCTCAACCTTCTCGTTCGATCCTAACCTCAAGTCACGCCGACAGAATCCCCATCGAGGGGAGGCCAGCGGGTCACCTGAGTCAGTCTTTGGAACGACCTGGGCATCTGTTGGGAGGCCGGTTAAGGAGCAGTGGAATGCCACATGAGGGCTATGCCGACTCCGTTACGAACGATAGACCCGGATTCCGCTCGAACGTGCCCGTTAGTGAGCTCATTGAGCGCGTCACTTGAGCCATCGAGGCAAGCGACATTAGCTCAGCCCTTCGGTTGTGGAAACCGCGGACGGGGTAACGCACAAAACTAGACCAACCCCTATCGAACCCAATGGGGCTCAGGGGCTCAGGTCGCCCAACGCTGACTCAGGAAATCAACCGACCGCGCAGGTCGCGGGCGGGACAAACACAGGCGAACATCCCGAACGATAGAAACACAGGAGTCTGTGGCCCCAGGAAAGATTACCAAGATACTCAGCCTCCAACCGACTCACCAGTCGGACGTTGGCTCGGGGGCTACACCCACTGGGTGCGCTTGTGCGCACCCGCTGGCAAGTCGAAAAAAATCCCCAGATGATTCTACCCAAATTGCCCGGGGGGCTACACCCACCGGGTGCGCTCGCGCGCACCTGCTGGCAAAACGAAAAATCCCCCAGATGATTCTACCCGAATCACCCGGAGGCTCGGGGGCTCCTGTCGGGTTACTAAACCCGGAGTCCCCTAGATGATTCTTCCTAGCAAAAGCTCGGCCCGGCAAACGGCATTACGAACGACGCGCGACTTCTGGGCCGGCCGAGATACCTAACGACAGGCCAGAAGAGCGATATAGTCTCCGACCGGAAGGCCTGGCCAAGGAGGGACGACGATCGCTTCCAACTCTGACCCGCTTCTTCAACCAGAAGACCTGGCCAAGGAGGGGACGGCGCTCGCTTCCGACTCTAACCCGCTTCTCCGATCGGGAATACACCTAACCTCTTCTTACGGCTCTTCTCCGACCGACGCGGTCGGAGCCAATTGGGAACGACCGGCCGGGGACGCCCGCTCGGTGAGGACCCAAGAAATCAGGCAGAGCAGATAAGGTAAGGCTCTCAAGTCAAACCGTAATACCGAGGACCGTACCCTGCACACCGACAGGTACTGTCAGGCCATGCCAGAAGGGTACTTTGCAGCCTTCCAGACATGTCAGAACACAAACAGTATTATAGGCGCCGATATTTTTCCTATAGTATGGTAGGCGCCGACATTTGCCATACTAGAAGAATACGATGGAGCTTGCCACATGCATCTAGGCGTCAACAGTATTGTGGGCGCCGATAATTGTCTTGTACCCGACGGCGTGGGCAACAAGACTAGGGCACACACTCTCTCTCTCTCTCTTGAACTCATAAGGCCGTCGCCTTCATCTACAAAAGGGGATGAGCTCTCTCTCAACAGACAAAGGTTCATTTTGACTCCTCCTCTCTGCTAGTTTTAGACATTCTGAGCACTCGAACAGCTTCACGACTCTAGAACTCTAAAGCTACACAGAGCATATGTTCCAATACTTAGCGCACGTAAGAGCTCCCGTCACTCTCGGCCCTTCAGTACAGAGTCCGACCGGACCTCTAACACCCTCCATCTTACTCCCACTCGTTTGTAATCCCACAACAAACTTCGAGCACCTGGGCTCAGAAATAAAGTCACCGACCGACTCAAACTGGACGTAGGGCACGTTGCCTGAACCAGTATAAACCCTGTGTCATTGAGTGCTATGCCACATCTGACCACAACGTACGGTAAAACGACAAATATTTACTTGTTGGTCACTTTTCGCACCGACAACTTTGTTATTCAATTTAATAAAATTAAATGTTTCTTCAAGCTATCGGTACTTTACATTGCAAATCTCTAAGTTGTCTGCATTTAATACTGGAACTATCGATAAGGTTGACATGTGGAAATTGAGATACGATGATGATTAACTCCTTGCCGACTTCAATAAGATATTAAAATTACATATTTTTATAGATCCTCAAAAGAAGCTATATAACTTGATATCTAACTCTACTAAAAAAATAAATAGATATCTAACATTTTTCATCCTTGTTTCCATTAATGAGCCCATTCATTTGTGATTGCTTAGGGAACTGCTCGCATTGTCAAAAGTAGCACCTATACAAATTAAGTTGTCGTGGCCATTGTAGCTGTGTAGCAAGTTGAAGCGACCGGATCGAACGCTTGATAGTTTTTGTTCTCCCGTAGCAACGCACGGGCATGTTTGTTAGTAGTAGAGAGGTAAATGGGTTATTTTTTTCCAGAAATATTTGTGCTGCAATTGATCCTGGGCCTCAAATTCGGCCTGCAACCAGGGCCTAAGTTAAAGAGCGAAGAAGGGCCCCCGTCACCCGTCAGGGGCGAACCAGGTCTCGTGTAGACTTTGACAGGGATTGGATATCCACGGAATCAATCACGCACGGGAATGCGATTCCCAGTCCACCTGTGCCGTTCCAGTGGGCCATCCCTAACTCCAAGCCCAACTGCACTACCACATCTCGTCGCGTCATCCACTCCGCCGCACACGCGCTCGCAGCTCTGCAACGCCGCAGGGAATGGTCGCCGCCACCGCCATGGCCACCGCTGCATCCGCGGCCGCGCCGCTACTCAACGGGACCCGAAGACCTGCGCGGCTCCGCCAACGCGGACTCCGCGTGCGCTGCGCCGCTATGGCGGGCGGCGCGGCCGAGGCACCGGCCTCCACCGGCGCGCGGCTGTCCGCGGACTGCGTCGTCGTGGGCGGCGGCATCAGTGGCCTCTGCACCGCGCAGGCGCTGGCCACGCGGCACGGCGTCGAGGACGTGCTTGTCACGGAGGCCCGCGCCCGCCCCGGCGGCAACATCACCACCGTCGAGCGCCCCGAGGATGGGTACCTCTGGGAGGAGGGTCCCAACAGCTTCCAGCCATCCGACCCCGTTCTCACCATGGCCGTACGCACCTCGCTGGCGCCCCGGCGTCTTCTAATCAGACTCTTGCGGAGGCGTGAAATTGAAATGCTCAATGGATTGTATGCGCGCGCGCAGGTGGACAGCGGGCTGAAGGATGACTTGGTTTTTGGGGACCCCAACGCGCCGCGGTTCGTGCTGTGGGAGGGGAAGCTGAGGCCCGTGCCATCCAAGCCCGCCGACCTCCCGTTCTTCGATCTCATGAGCATCCCTGGCAAGCTCAGGGCCGGCCTAGGCGCGCTTGGCATCCGCCGGCCTCCTCTAGTTCGTGCTCTCCCCATGCTGAATTCTTAAATCTTGTGCGTTTTGATTGTTCCATTGCCAATGGGGCTGAGCGTTTCTGGCGAAGGTTTCAGGGCCGCGAGGAGTCAGTGGAGGAGTTCGTGCGCCGCAACCTCGGTGCTGAGGTCTTTGAGCGCCTCATTGAGCCTTTCTGCTCAGGTGGTTATTGCAGTGTGCTATCACTGTTTGTTCTAGTCTGCTACTAGCAGCGATTAGCTGATTACCATAAAAATTTGACAATATCTATGTAAACCTAAGGTGTCTATGCTGGTGATCCTTCCAAGCTCAGCATGAAGGCTGCATTCGGGAAGGTGTGGCGGTTAGAAGAAGCTGGAGGTAGTATTATTGGTGGAACCATCAAAGGCTATTCAAGAGAGGGGCAAGAACCCGAAACCACCGAGGGATCCGTAAGCGATTGATCCATTTTGTTTTTATTCCACTAATTGGCTGTTCTGTCATATTGATCTGTTTTAACCTCTTTTAGCCGCCTACCGAAGCCAAAAGGGCAGACAGTTGCATCTTTCAGGAAGGGTCTTGCCATGCTTCCAAATGCCATCACATCCAGGTTTGTTCTTATTGTTTTGTATATTTACTAACAAACATATCCATGTGTTGCAATGAAATGTACATCTTGTTACATTGACGCCTGGACGACTTGTGGCTCGGATATATATATGCTATGGTTGTGTCATCTGTTCCAATACTTCTTGGAATCAGACTCTGTAATAACGTGGCTAGATGCATGCTGTTCTATCTCGTATTAGCATGGGTCGTAAATCCGGGTCATAGACGAGATAGAGAGGTGCACAAGGATATCGTGGGAAGTAAAATATGATGGACGGAAGAATCCTTTCTGCTTTTAATATTGGTTGGTATATAGATATTTATTTATGTAGCAAATCAGTTACAGATATGGGGCATGTGGACTGTTCAGATAGATTGATGCCTTAGGTCAAACTTGTTTGCGTAATTCAGATACAATCATACAATGCCGTGTTATAACTCTTCATTTCATATACATGGATGGGGAATGCGAATCTACCCTTTGCACAATGTTAATACTAACTAGGGCATTGTCATTCTTTCCATCCTTATTTATGCTGTTACTACAATATAGGCGGATAGCTCCATGTTGTCATTTGAAAATACCAAATATACAGCTGAAGGCTATACATAGAAATTCCATGAAGCATGGTTTATAGAGCATGTTAGCGTGCATGTTCATTGCAACTTGGTTGCAAACTAGTAAAAATTGTAATATTAGATCTCTGATCCAGGATTATTCTTCTATTTGTTACTCACCTTTATTCAATTCTGTATATTTCTTCATTTACAGCTTAGGTAGTAAAGTCAAACTATCATGGAAACTCACGAGCATTACAAAATCAGATGGCAAGGGGTATGTTTTGGAGTATGAAACACCAGAAGGGGTTGTTTCGGTGCAGGCTAAAAGTGTTATTATGACCATTCCGTCATATGTTGCTAGCAACATTTTGCGTCCACTTTCAGTAAGTATAAACTAATCAATTTTCATGTTTTCAGAAACTGGAGTATTTTAGCTTCTTGATACCATATAATAACATTTATTTGGAAAATGACCAGTCAGGGGTGGGGATTGCACTTGTTAAGTGATTGATGATTTCTGCCATTCTGTGGTCCATTGACATTTACTAAACTACTGCAAGGCTAGCAAAATTCTAAACCTTGTCTTCATTGACATTTGAATGACTGTTGTTATCTTCCATGTGGATCATTTGTCTGGAAAAAATGTGGAAAGTTATGGTTTTTGTTTTTCGTACTAATAATGATGAGAGTAAATGCTGAGCTTGCAAACACGTCAATAGCGCGGTGGTAGGTCCTCTGGTTGGGAGGCTGCCGACCAGCAGACCGGGGTTCAAATCCTGTGTTGCATGAAAAAAGGTCCCTAGCTGTGTAACTGTCTACAGAGATATATGTGCTGCAGGCGCGTCCTGGGCAGCTAGCTTTTTGGGACCTTTTCTCAACCCTAGTTCAAGGAAATTTCTCCCTTGTGTGATATACCTCGAGGGAGGTCAATCCCCCAGGGGTCAAGTAAATGCTGAGCCTGGATAGAGCTAGAGAAGATTTTGCGAACAGACTAATTGAAGTGGACAGGACCATTTCTTATGCTGTCAAAAATTTGTAGGCTTTAAAAATAATAATTCAAATATACAAGAAAATTGTTATGCTCTTAAATTTATACTGTGTTCCTTACAAAATGGCCTCAGTGATCAGTTCGTACAATTAATCATCTTAAGAGAACAATTTCCAACTAGATAATTATTATGATTAAAAAAGAAAACAGAGAGAAGAAATAGCACCAGGACCTAAGTTCCCCAGCATGAGCAGACTAATTATCAAGGAGACCCAACCATTGGTTGGGATGGTGTTCTAAGTGCATTGTTGATAGGTTGTTGCTGTGATGCTTCAGTAATCTGGATATCCTTTTCCCCTATATGGTTTATTTACTATGATATTCTATATTACGTTGCCTTCTATCCAGTTCAATTTGGTCCAAGTCCTTCAGAGGATGGTAAAAATTCAGCTACATTGGCTTACATCCAATTTGCTATTTTTTCGAGAACTCCATCCCAATCCTTTTTCTTTGACTATATTCTGTATATGGCTTTAAAGATATTTATTTGTTTATCCATAGGACCATGTTCCACAGAATGTCTTGCGAGGAGTACCCATGCTATTATCCTCAAGGTCCTGAAAATAAGCTGTAAAAAAACTCTGGAACTAACTAGAATTAGACAGTTCCTGGGGGTGGGGGCTGGAAAAATAACTGAACTGTTTAGTTAATCACATTGACATGCAGATTTGAACTGAAAAATAAAATCTGAACTAAATAGTCAAGTTCGGACAATATTTAAAATGACGGTGCCAGTTGACCCATTATAATTATTGCTAGCTACTGGCAACATTTAAATTCCTTATTCTATGTGGCATGGCAACCAAGTTGGTTATTATTCAAGTACTCTGTCCATCAATGTAAGACCTAGTTTTGAAAAAGTAAATCTTGCAAGTTTTGACCAATAATTAGGGCACCTGCAATGGGGTTGTTAAGCTCTCTACAAGATGTCCACCTAGGAGAGTGCAAGCAAGAGAGAGAAGAGGATATGACTGGGCGATGGGGCGATGCGAGCATGGCCTGGCTGCTGGTGTGGGTTTCGGCCACCCTGCTGCGTGGGGTTGAGTTTGGCCTCCAGCCATGCACAGGTGCGAGCTTGTCCACCAGTGCGGCCAGAGACAAGCACGGCTCACACATGTTCATCGTCACTGACATGCGAGGCCCGGCGCGTCCGCGCTAGTGGTGTGCGGGCGAGCTCCTCCCGGCGCGTCCGCCGCTGGTGGTGTGCGGACGAGCTCCTCCCGGCCGACACATGCACTGGCAAGCTCGTGCTCTGGTTGGTTCTGGCCCTGGCAGCACACACATAGGTGAGCTCGTCCTAGCCGCACTTGGCCGGTGTGTGTAGGGAAGACAAGGGTGGCGGCCAGCGTGGTGGATGAGGAGGGAGAATGCGGCAGGGCTGGCCCTAGAGGGGGAGGTGGAGGCACGACAGCTAGTGAGGTGAGGCACGGTGGCTGGTGGGGCAAAGGCAACGTGGAGGCGCTCGATGGAGGGCGGTGAGCGGCCTAGCGGTTGGTTCGGTGGAGATGTGGCGTGGCGAGGCACAACCCAGCTGAGGTGGAGCAGGGTGGCGGAGCCTAGCCGAGGTGGAGTGGGGTCAAGCACGGCCGGTGAGCTTAGAAGGGGCTGGACCTAGGTGAGCTTATTAAAAAAATACTTATATGTGGACCCAACGTGAACTTTGAAAATTGTGTTATAGATAGACTGTTGGACAGGTAATTTGTAATTTTGACTGTGTCGTACATGGACACCGGTATACATTTGTGTTTATTGAACAAAAGTTTCTTCAATAGATTTGTATTCAAAGCGCTTTTAAGATAGTGCTGACTTTGTAGCAATTAACAATATAGTGTTAGGGATATTCATGGTCAAAATCTCCTAGAAAATATGTCTTACATTGATGGACAGAGGGAGTCTCATTTACATGTTATTAGTATCTGTTGGCATTCTTCCTCATTTGAGCATGAACTTTGTCTTTACCCTCTGCAGAGTGATGCTGCTGATGCTCTATCAAGATTCTATTATCCACCGGTTGCTGCTGTAACTGTTTCGTATCCAAAGGAAGCAATTAGAAAAGAATGCTTAATTGATGGGGAACTCCAGGGTTTTGGCCAGTTGCATCCACGTAGTCAAGGAGTTGAGACATTGGGTATTTCTTGCAATGATCGAGTCCTAAAATTCCAAACATATATATACAGTTTTCTTTCTTTTCCAGCTTGCTTTTATTCTAGCATTAACTTTATTTTATTTTTAGGTTTAATCCAAGATAGAGATAATGATATAATATAACAGTATTATTGGTAATATGCTTTTGTAGGAACAATATACAGCTCATCACTCTTTCCTAATCGTGCTCCTGCTGGTAGGGTGTTACTTCTAAACTACATAGGAGGTGCTACAAACACAGGAATTGTTTCCAAGGTTAGCAATTCTCTGCCAAACCTATTGCTGTGTTTTTTGTGATTATGATGTGTTTATATATCTTTTTAGTGCCCTTCTTTATGAATAGAACCTTTAGCACTATTAATCTGTTCTTTAATTATCACTATAAACACTAACTGCACTGTTTTAACACTAGCTGCACTCAACTCATGGAAAATTTGAGCTGCTAGTTATGTAGTATGATTTAAATAGTCTTTATTTGGTTGCCTGTTATTGGCTGTATTTTTTATGACCCCATCTCATTTTCAGACTGAAAGTGAGCTGGTAGAAGCAGTTGACCGTGACCTCCGAAAAATGCTTATAAATCCTACAGCAGTGGACCCTTTAGTCCTTGGTGTCCGAGTTTGGCCACAAGCCATACCTCAGTTCCTGGTAGGACATCTTGATCTGCTGGAGGCCGCAAAATCTGCCCTGGGCCGAGGTGGCTACGATGGGCTGTTCCTAGGAGGGAACTATGCTGCAGGAGTTGCCCTGGGCAGATGCGTTGAGGGCGCGTATGAGAGTGCCTCGCAAATATATGACTTCTTGACCAAGTATGCCTACAAGTGATGAAAGAAGTGGAGCGCTGCTTGTTAATTGTTATGTTGCATAGATGAGGTGAGACCAGGAGTAGTAAAAGCGTTACAAGTTTTTTTCATTCTTATTTTGTAAATCGCACTTATGTTTTTTTTCCTGTCAGTGATTAGTTAGATTTTAGTTCTGTAGGAGATTGTTCTGGTCACTGCCCTACAAAAGAATTCTTATTTTGCATTCGTTTACGGGAGCTGTGCAGACTCATGTAGCGTTTTTCTGTAAGTACCAACAACATCAAATCCTATTCTGCAAGAGCTAACGGAATTTGCAACTGAGATTGCCTTGGATGATTATTTTGCTTCTGCATGAAGCATTAAAAACGCTGAGTAGACATGCGAATCTTGGGCAATGTTTGTACTCAGTAATACTAATTGCTACTACTATTTGATATGGAACATGTCGGGTATTAGTATGATACCGGAAGAAGCAAGCTAATGGCCGTGAACGCTAACTCCCTCAGATGGTCAAGAGTCTATCTTGGTCTCGTTCGGTCCCGAGGGCATGGGCTCCGTCTCGCCCAATCTCAAGGACACGCGATTCGGGTCACCCGACCCTAAGGGCGCTGGCTTCGTCTCGCCTGACCCTTGGGTGAGAGCCCCGTCATGTCCGACCCCGAGGGCGTGAACTCCGCCTCGTTCGATCCCGAGAGCGCGGGCTCCGCCTCGTTCGACCCCAAAGACGCGGGCTTCGCCTCGCTCGACCCCTCGGGAGCGGGCTTCGCCTCGCCCGACCCCGAGGGGGCGGGCTCCACCTCACCCGACGAAGGTCCGTACCGTCCCCAATCACTACGGGTCTAAAAAGTACGAGTCTAGGGTTAAACTTCTGACACCAGAAAGGGAGCAGGCGCATCTTAACGTGACCCGCGGCCACGACGGGCCACGTCTGAGGACGCACGTCGCCAACAGCATCGGACGTGCCGGTGCTGTGCTACCTACTTCCTGTACAGCCTCCAGCGGAGGTTTCAGCTAGCTATACCATCTGCTGGGACGGAATGGAGCGCCACGACCAGCTGACGAAGCCCGCGTACGATGCTAGTGACGAACAGGGCCGCGACGTGGAGCCATCCCCATCGTCATCTATAGGGCCGACAGGACCCGCGTAAAGGAGATGGAAGACGTTGCAATCCCGGAAGCCTTCCTCTCCTCGTCTCTCTCTCTCTGATGTAACCTGCATCTTCCTCTTCATCTATAAAAGGGGAAGCAAGGCGCCCCACACATCAAACACGTCTGAGCGGCTGAAGGCTTAGGCGCTCGACAGGAGAGAGAGAGAGCTCAACCAGACTCACTCTTTTTCACAAGAGACTTGGGACCTTCTCCCTCTCTCGCCTGTTTATAACCCCTACTACAAACCAAGTGTCGGTAACACGAGCAACAGCAGACTGGACGTAGGGACATTCCGCCCGAACCAATATAAATCCTTGTGTCCTCCGAGCACAGCCATCTAGGTCAGACATGTAAACTAGAAATTTACTAGCCGGTGATTCGAAACACCGACAGTTGGCACGTCAGGTAGGGGCCTTTTGCCATCTCGTCGTCCACAACAGGCCACGTATGGCTAGCCACGGCGTTAGTTGGGTCCCGGACGTGCACGTGCGCTTTGAGAGCCTGAACTTCATCGTCACCGTGGAGGGAGAACTGGCGTGGGCTACTGCCCTCGTCCAACTTCTTTGCTCCACCAGCCTCGACGCAACCGTCGAAGCCCTCGAGAAGCTGCAACTGCGCGCACCGGAGGCCCGTGTCCCCGGGAGCGACCAGCTCTTCGGCTTTGACTACGGGAGGCTAGAGCGCCAGCTTGACACCTTCCTGGGACCCCGATCGTCCTAGGAGGATGTGCGCTGCCTCACCTTCTCCTTCGCCAACGTCATGATGTAGCTTGCCGGAGGGGAGCCGCTCTCTGTGGAATATCTCACCCGAGACACCCCAACAGCGTTCCCGTTCGGTCTATGCAATACCGCAAGGACCATTGGTCACCTCGTGGTACAGCGCATGTACCCGCCTCCCACGGATCACGAATTCATGGGAATGGCCGATTACGTCGCCTAGTCTTTCCACAACCTTCTCGCGGGAGATTCAGAGTCGATCTCCGACTCTGACTCCAGTAGGGAGAGCCATCACCCCTCGCGAGAATGTTTTATGGCAAGTACCCCCGAGGGACACGTCGAAAGCGTCCACGTGGGAGGGGCTACCCCACCGAACGACTTCGACGACGAAGTCAAAGAAGATGTGGGGGCCCTTCCCCGCATGCTGGTGGAACAACTAAGGGCGCGACATTAGGAGCTCGAGGATGCGCGACTCCAGCTGGAGCAGGAGCGCGCGGAGCTCGAACGCGAGATCGAGCGTCGCGGGGATGGTGGCCGTGCGCGCGCCATCGCCCACGACGTAAATGGGAGGATCATCGAGGACGACGGAGGCCTCCCGCACTTCGCCCAGGCAAGCTAGAACATAGCTGCCTCAGCAGCCCTACTCCGAAGGCTCCCGGTGCCCGCGACACCCGAAGACCATCGGGCCCACCGCGAGATCCGCACGCTACTCGAGTGCGCAGCTGTGCAACAGGATGAAAGCTCGCTGTCTCGGTGACGTGAACTTGATGCCAGTCAGCATGTGTCTTCGGGATGACATGGCTAGGACGTATCTGTCCACCAGGCGCCACGCGACGGCGGTGGACTTGCCATGGTCCCGGTGCATGAGCGTCTCGGCCCCAACCATGACACATGCAACACCTAGACGCCCACAGGCACGAACGGGGTGACAAGAGAGAGGAGGCCGGCTGCAGCTACCATCCTCGTCACGGTGGATGCTACGACAACAGCGAAGACCGAAGCCTAAGCCCCGACCTGCCGGGGCCCAGGCTTTCGGCCAGCACATCCTCAATGCGGCTTTCTTGCTGCGGTATCGACCGCCGACCAACGTCCCAAAGTACTCCGAGGAAATGAACCCAGGCTTGTGGCTCAAGGACTACCGGCTTGCTTGTCAAGCCGGCAATGCGGATAGTGATTGCTTCACTATCTGCAACCTCCCCTTGTTCCTGGCCGATTCGGCGCGAACATGGCTGGAGCACCTTCCGCCCAACCGGATTCAAAGTTGGGCTGACTTGAAGGAGATCTTTATGAGAAACTTCTAGAGCACCTACACGCGCCCTGGGAACCCCTGGGATCTAAAAAATTGCCGACAGAAGTCTGGAGAGACTCTTCGCGAGTACATTCGACACTTCTCCAAGTAATGCAATGAGTTGCCTGATGTCGCTGATGCCGACGTCATCAGATCCTTCCTATCCGAGACCACCTGTGAGTCCCTGGTCCACAAGCTAGGATGTAAGGGCCCTCAGACCACCAAGGATCTCCTCAACATCACGACTAGCCACGCCTCAGGCGAGGAGGCGATCGGAGCGATTTTTTATCGCTCCAAAGGCAAAGCGAGGTGGGATGAGGACGCTGGTGAGGGCCCCTCTAACCGTATGAACAAGAAGAAGAACAAGCAGCAGCATGGGGGCTCACTCATGGCCGCTGTCGAGCAGAAAGGTGGCTGGGGGCCCACCGAGAATGCTCCCGACCACTTCAAAAGCTGCTCGAGGGGCCATGCCCGAACCATGATTTCCCCGTCAAGCATCTGTACAAGGACTGCACCCTCATGAAGCGGTTCCTATTCGATGGCTCCGACAAGGGGAACCAGAGAAAGAAGCCAGAGCTGGCGGCAGGCGATGCCAAGGGGAAGGATGGCAGCTTTCCAACCCCAGATGGCTGCCTCATGATCTTCGGTGGGACGACGGCCTATGACTCCAAGCGCCGCCAAAAGATCGCACGCCGCGAGGTCTACGTGGCCGAGCCAGCCACACCGTCTTTCCTTCGGTGGTCAGAGTCCGCCATCACCTTCGACCGATGCGACCACCCGGATAGCATCCTGCAGCCGGGGAGGTATCCGCTCGTGGTTGACCCGATCGTCGACACAAAGCGACTCACCAAGGTGCTGATGGATGGAGACAGCGGCCTCAATATCATGTATGCCGAGACACTTGATGCCATGGGCATCGTCCGATCATGCGTCCGAACGATTGGGGTGCCTTTCCACGACGTCGTGCTGGGGAAGCAAGCCATACCGCTCAGGTAGATCGACCTGCCCATCACCTTTGGGGATCCGACCAACTACAGGACAGAGACCCTCATCTTCGAGGTGGTCGGGTTCCATGAGACCTACCACACCATCCTGGGATGACCATGCTACGCGATGTTCATGGCCATCCCCAACAACACCTACCTAAAGCTCAAGATGCCAGGCCCGCGTGGGGTCATCACCATTGGCACCTCCTTCGAGCACGCTTACGAGTGCGAGGTTGACTGCTGTGAGCGTGCCTCGACAATCATCGCCTCCGAGAAGCTCGCAGTCATCAAGGAAGGGACTGCTGAGGAGGCACCTGACTCCAAGCGGTCGGTCGAATCCTTTGAGCCCACGAAGGGCGTCAAGGAGGTCCTCGTAGACCCTAGTAGCTCTGAGGGCAAAGTGGTGCGCATCGGCACCACGCTTTCGTCCAAATAGGAAAGCGCGCTTGTCGACTTACTCTGCGCCAACAGAGATATCTTCGCGTGGAAACCCTCGGACATGCCGGGCATCCCGAGGGAAGTTGCCGAGCATGACTTGAAGATCAGGACGAGCTCCAAGCCGGTGAAGCAGCGCTTGTGCCGCTTCGACGAGGAGAAGTGCAGGGCCATCGGTGAAGGGATCACAAAACTTTTGGCGGCCGGATTCATCAAGGAAGTGTATCATCCCGAGTGGTTAGCCAATCTTGTCCTTGTACGAAAAAACAATGGGAAATGAAGAATGCGTGTTGACTACACGAGTCTCAATAAGGCGTGTCCAAAGGATCCGTTTCCTTTGCCACGTCTAGATCAAGTAGTCGACTCGACCTCGGGGTGTGAAACCCTCTGCTTCCTTGATGCGTACTCTGGGTACCATCAGATCGCCATGAACGTGTCTCACCAGCTC